AACAACTGTCGACCCTGCATCTCTGACAGAAAAATACATCTGGGCTTGAATACAATTAGTGCACTAAATTTCATAGGTCGATTCAAATATTTAAGAACGTACGGGCTGGGGAAGATACATGCTTGGGGTAGATGTGAAGGCACCGTCTGGATGGCAACAACAATGCAGATGGGATGAGAAGACCGCTTCGTCCATCAGATCTAACTGGCACATCCCCTCTCCTCACCACGGAACCGACTGATCAGTACATGATTGAGGGTCTTGGGTGCCCTGTAGGAACATGCCTTCAGATCCCATCTAGATGAAGATGGCGGAGCAGACTGTATGGAGAGCCTCGAAAAAGGGTTGAAGATCCATGGAAGGGTTAAAGATCCAGGGTCAAAGATACAGGGAGTATCGATGTAACATCCTTACTTCTATCTAGGAGCGGGCGTCGGCGCGCGAGGCAGACGTCACCGCATCAGGGGGACGAGGACTTCGGTCATACGCAGCCGCCACAAGCCGAAGTGCACCACCAGGCGGTGGGCAGGATTTGGCAAGGGGCGGCGATGCGAAACCCTACGTGAGAGGGAGCCAGGGAGAAATTGGTTTGAGGACTTTGTGTGCTGATCGGGAGGCTAGGTGGGGGAAGTTGTTTTTTTTTTATGTTGAATCGTGAGGGATGGACGGGAACGCATCTTATTTCTGTTGCAAGTCATATGTTGCTAGAGGGGGGTTTATGGTCGTTCATACATACACAGACACAGACAGCAAACCGCATCGGCACAATGCCGCGTGCGCGCATGCATTTCTGCATGCACCTAAAACTGATGGAGTAGAAAGAACACGACGATCTGGCGCCGCTATGATCAACACCAGATCACGATTACCCAGATCGATGCCTATGCCTACAGCAGCCGTTGCACTGCATGCGAGGCAACAAGGACCGCGCACTTGCTCGCTTGTCTGCGACCTTGCATCACGAAGGCCTTGCAGCATATAGCCGTAGCAGCTGTCGGCGGCTGATGCGGCTCATCTCCAGCCGCGCAGCCCTCTTCTCCATGCAGACAAGACAAAGGCCAGAGTAGGCCTGCATGCATGGGCGGCGCGCGGACGAATACGTCCATAGGAATCGTAAGCCAGGTTAGGCAAAATGGAGGCAGGTCACAGCAGGTTGCACGCCACAAACAGGCAGAGACATTCCAGACACCGGGCACCTGTCGCCAGTAGCAGCCAAGGCCCGACGCAAAAGCGAGCCTGGGTGGACAAGGACAAGCACCACACAATTGGAAAGAACAAAAGTCCAACAATGCCTAGTAGAAACGTGGTTGTTTCAATGGGGGTCAATGGGGGTCAATTTGCCTACAAAAGTCCAACAAGCACAACACAATCGCCAGTTATGCTTGGTTGTTTCAATGGGGGTCAATTTGCGCCATAGAAGATATGGTTTTCATGTTTTCTTGTTCTTGTCCATTTTTTAGGATGGACATTAGTTCTGCATTACGGATGGCTGTGCGTGTCCCAGCTTACTACGAGGCTTGCGATGACGGTAGAAACGTGGCCCATACTGCAACAGATTTTCAGCTAATCCAGGATAGGGACACTCTGAATCTGATTGATCTGAATGTGGATGTAGCTGCTAAAGTGTCTATTGGGAGCAATCAGGGGTTCAATTTGTCATTTTTCGACAAGCATAGCCAGTGTTTTACCAATCTAGCCACTGATGCAGCTCTGATGAATGCTACTGATAATTATTGGGAACTAAGGAGGCTACCTTTGTTTGTGAATTTTTATGACACGGTTCCTGTGGCATATAGTCAGAGTGTGTCTTTGGATAATGAGGCAGGTGCATCTGTTGATCCCCCATTGCTGCCCCCTTTGCTTGGTTATGATGATGGGCAGAACAATCAGTCTTTTGATACTGCCTTGCCAGGTGGAGGTGACCAGGATGTTGACTCACTTAGCGTGGAAGAAAGTGAGAATGACACTGCTGACTCAACGAACTCTGATGATTCAGCTGAGAAATCCATATCTGCACAAGGAAGAAGCAGGAAGAAGGTTGCTGGTGATGATGTGGCATGGGAAGAAGATGATGAGGAGTATGTTGGGGTCAATAATGAGGGTCGTTATATGTCAGAACAACAGTTTGATCAAGATGCAGAACCTGCTGACTCTGACTCATTTGTTCATGATGATATGTATGTTGATGATGAAGCTGGTTGTGAGGTTTCTAAGCATGTTACTAACTTAGAGAACCCAACTGGATAGAGGACAACCACAAGCACTTATGGAGTAGATGGAAGTTTTCTCATGCCAACAAATGTGACTATGTAACTAACAACATAGCAGAAACCTTCAACAGTTGGATTAGGAATGAGAAGTCCCTGGCTTTCATTCTTCTGTTGGATAGGATCGGGCAAATGATAATGGAGAAACAAGATCTTGCCACAAGTCACCAAAGAACTTCATGCCATGAGTAGAAACTTACAGTATGTCATACATAGGGGGCCTAACAACACAGCTGAGATTCAAGGCACTACTAAGGAACTAAAAACTTGGAGGCATACTGTGGATCTTGAGAACAGAACATGCAGCTGTCAAAGGTTGCAGATTACTGGATTGCCATGTACTCATGCTCTCTGCCTCATCCATTCTATGCGCAATAGAAGTGTGGAAGACTACAAAGATGACTACTATTTGGTTGATAAGTTCAAGAAAGCATATGAACATATGATTAATCCCATGACAGATAGAAATCAGTGGCCTCAAGTAGACATGGGTTTCAAACTTTGGCCTCCAAGGTTGAAGAGAGCTGCAGGCCGGCCAAGAACAAGAAGGATGAAAAGTGCTAAAGAAGGTGGCAAGAAAAGTAAGCAGCACCAGTGCAAGAGTTGTGGTCAGTTTGGTCACATGATGAAGACCTGTAACGAAACTGTGTATGACTTTGATGCAATACCACCAGCAGCACCAAAGCCCAAGAGAGTGAGGACAAAGAAAACCGTACTGCTGCAACAACTATCTCCGCCCAACAATCAGAAATTGAAGGTGCTCAAGAAATAAGTGTTGCACTGCCAGCTCTGACAAACAACCCAGCAGCAAACACTAGGAGGTGACTTGAAAGACTTCATTTCTGTGATACATTCCAATTATTTGTATTTCTAATGTTGTGTATGACTGATAGTAGCCGCAAGAGGGTATTGGAGTATGCTGGTGAAACTTCCTCACCCAGAATAGATCTGCAGCATAAAAATAAGATGAAGAAGGTGGTGACCACGAAGACTACTAAGACAAGGAAAACAAGCAAGACCACCAAGAAAATGAAGGCTGGGGAAGAGGATGCAAGCAAGACATGGCCATTTCTGAAGAGGTAACCAACAAGAGGATCAGCAAGAAGAAGCTGATCATGGACCTGTGATGACAGACTTTGTTATGTAATGGACCTATTATGTGATGAACCTGTTATGTAATGAACTTATGTGGATGGCAGACTTTGTTATGCCTATGAACTATGATATGTAAGGTTACAGACATGAATTGAGATAATGTGTTATGCCAAGTTATCTATGCCCAGTTCCCAAATTTGATTTGTGTCTCATACAATTCTGTTGCAACAAGTTGAAGATGCATTATGGAATTGAAAATAGGTTCACAAACCAAGTCTTTCAAACAAGCTACAGATAGTTGGATACATGATAAGCTGCTGTTATGCATCACTTAACCAACAACACTAACGGAACTAAAACTAAAATGAAAAGCTTTACAACACCAACTACAAGCAGCCGCTGTCCAATCTTATCCATCTTGGTCATCAATTTTTTGTTGCTATCAACTACTGACTTCAGTAGCACCTCTGAATCTTTGAGATGAATGACTGCACTCTCCAGTAGATCTTGGCAGGCATCAAAACCTTAACAGGCCTTCACCATGTCCTTGCCATCCTTCATCACCTCCAGCGCCATGCCATCACGAGCTCTAACTTGACTACAAGCACGAGGAAGAACGCCTTTGCAGACCAAGTACTCGACATAGTGTTCTTCAAAGTAGTACTGCAAACCAGAGATGAAAGTCAAGAAAACAACGCATCTTCTAAAAACTAGATTACAAGTCAACCACAACTTACATGCTCAAGCAGTGGAACCGGTAGAACCACTTCCCCTTGCTGCCGGCCTTCTGCGAAATGCGCCTGATAAAAATGGTTCCGCACTTGTGGCAAGGTACCAATGGCAAGAATCCTGCCTGATCTCGGTAGGGCTCCAGTGTCAAAGAGGTCGATTGGGGCGCTCCGAACGGCATGGAATGCGAGCTCGATGCCATTCCAGTGACTCTAACCTAAGGGATCTAGGGTTCGTGCAGTTGGGGAAGGAGAATGGGGAGAGAGAACGGGGAGAGAGAATGAGGAAGAGAAGAATGGGGATGAGACGGCAGGAGGAAGACGACCGGGGTTGCCTTTACCTGGTCCAACCAGACCACGAACGTGAGTCAGGCCGGTAGGGCCAAATTCGTCTCTTAACCTTGCTTTCTCTCTCCCAATCTCTGGAAATAATTATTTTAATCGAGGCAGTGTCCAATGGCAAACAAACGCGAATTTGGAATGTTACTCAGCAAATGCTATGCTTGGCGGTGTGTTCCAGCCAAATACCCATTTTCACGATGTCTCACAGCAAAAATTGCCTAGAAACAAACATCCCTAGAAAAGAGGGGAGTCCGTGCAAGGACATGAGGCTTCAGCGTACAGTGGATTGTGCAAACACCTCGTGCCTATTTAAGCCATGCTGTACTGCCCGGCTCACTGCAATAAAACAACTTGTCCCACATCCGTCTTGGTGAGTGAGAGACCCAGACTGACCGGTAGGTCAAGAAGATCGAGTTTGCGCATGTATGTATGTTTGATTTCTTCAGTACTATCTCAACTTATTCTGTGTTGCTTAATATGGTTGTTTGTTGGTGCTTCCTGGATCTGATGATCTTAGTTAAGGAGCAAGAGAACCATGGTGGACCAGCAGCACCCGCAGCAGTAGGAGATGAACGCAGCTGGTGTCAGCCGAGGCCTCAGCCTGCCTCCAGAGTTCCGCTTCCACCCGAGTGATGACGAGATTGTTGGCATCTACCTCACGAACAAGGTGAGCAACAGGGACTTCACCTACACCGCCATCGCAGAAGTAGACCTAAATAAGATTGAGCCATGGGACCTCCCTTGTACGTAACAAGCAGCCTCGATCTGTACATACATATACGCCTTGGTCTTGTTTGATCCCAGCAGTGGATGCATGTTGTTATGCTAGTGATCAATATGTGGACTAATATATGGTGCTTGAATCATTCGCATGTTGCAGGGAAGGCAAAAATGGGTGATGAGTGGTACTTCTTGTACCAGAAGGACCACAAGTACCCGACAGGGCAAAGGGCGAATCGGGCCACAGAGGCCATTTACTAGAAAGCAATTGGCAAGGACAAGGAGGTCTACAATACCATAGAATGGGTGGTCCTGCTCGTCAGCATGAAGATGCTCGTCTTCTACAAGACTGGCCATTTGGTAGCTGCTTGTTATATAGTTTGCTTGGCTAGCTTGCACGCCAAGGCGAGGAAATTCTTGTCCATGTAGGTGAGTTAATTCGGCATACACAGGCATCCCAAATAGGCACCAAATCAAACTAGAACCATCCCAACATCCTTCACCCTCAATAGATTGAGGTCCCTAGCACAAATCCAGTTTCTTTAGATTCAGTCATGCTATCACCGAAATGACATCCTTGACCATCGGACTGAGGCTCATCATAAACAAATCTATGTCCACTTTTGGAAGAACAATGTCTGATTAAAGGTTTCAAATGTAATCCTGGACGATTGGTATCATGCTTAGCTTGGTGCTAGATTCACATTTCTATGCGTGGAGCATAAATGTAAACAACATTTCTTTACATTTCTACACGTAGAGTAAAAATGTAAACAACATTTTGATTATCCAACGCATGAATTTTTTAAGCAATACGAGTAACAAGGGACGTGCAAGTAATTTTCTAACCATTGTTTAATCGTAGAAATCACATGCAAAATTTTGATCTTTTTGACCATGGCATAGAGAATTCTTAATTCATCATTGCCAACAATTCTAGCATCATCTCAAGGAAACAAAGTCATAGCTATCCAATGATGCATGAACCTCAAAGTAGGATGTTGAATTTCCATATTACGAGGTTGAAACTTGCCAACTACAGCTGGACCCAAAATTTCTCCCCAAAATTTATGACGATTAAAACCTTTAAGAAAGTAGTCAAGGTCAAGAGAGCACCTCTTATGAAAGCCAGGACTTTGAGCTGAGATCTTTCCATGTAAGATAATACTGTACACCTGAGGTTTATTTTCCATCTTCAATGACTAAGATAGCACCCTTAATAATTTTGATCCTACACCAAGTAAAGGTCCATGTCTGATTGTCTCAGTTGCTTTTGAAAGAACGATCGTCTTGGTTGTTTTTGATGGAACGATTGTCTTAGTTACTTTTGCTGCAACGATCATATCAGTATCTTTTGAGGGAACAACCACCTGAGTTGCTGTAACTAATCTTCTGCGCTTCTTGTACTTTGAGCTGATGCAACATTTTAGGCAGTAAATAGAAATTTTAATAGAAACTTGATAAATCATTAAAGGTAAGGGAGAACATGCATACAAGTTGGAAAATGTTCTCTGTCTCGGATCAATTCCTGCAGGAAAATCCTGCATACTTTGCCTAATGAGGTGAGGTGAGCATCGACAAAGGAACCAAACATGCCTTAAATCCAACTCTTCTTCTCCAAATTATGGTTAGAGAGCTCCAATTACAAACATGCTTAGATCCAAGATTGGGAGAGAAAGAGAGAGAAGGGGGAACGAAAGGGGACCAACTTACATTAGCTGCCGATGGTGGTGCCACCATTGGTTGGAGTTGACACGCTGGATCTAGAAGAGAGTGAGTCAGAGAGGGTGCACAATAGATCGGAGGCGATAGCTAGGGTTCATGAGAAGGGATATGGCGGCATCAGGTTGGTGCTTGTGGTTGGCCTAGTGTCATTCAGCATGCCACCACAGATTACTCTATCCTCGAAATGGCCGAACCACATTTCAGCAACTAGCAATGGGAGATGTCCATGAGATCTTGGTTGAGGAAACCCATTCACCACCTTCATATTAGGAATTGATGAGTTCCATATTTCTGCTTAACTAGGACACTTTGCTCCTTGAAGTGATAATCAACTAAATTTATCAGGCGTACCTATTATTGGAATCCATTTCTATCCATCGCTCCCTCCCTCCTCTCTCTCCACATGCACACACCAACACACACACACCTATTATTGGTAGTGAAATTCCATCCAAAGCACGAAGTTGTGTTGCGGGAGATTGAGATCCTTTATGGCTTACTTGCATCGACTTGCACATTCAAGCTAGTTGAGACTTTGCTCCTTGACATCAATAACTTTTAGTCTCACAGACAAATACTTTCATCTTACCACGGTACAAAGGTATTATTGTGACACTTGAGGACATCAGGATCATATGCCTCCTTGGTTGTTTTGTGAGGGACAAAACATTACCACCTGAGGTGCAAAGTCATAACAAGTCAATGAGCTGGAGAGACACTAGTGTATCCTCAATGATAGTAGGTACAAAAAAATTACTCTGGATGTGTCGAGCAGTTCCTTGAGTGTATGCCAATAGAAGGTTCTAGCCTTCTAGGGAGCAAGTTGAGCATGCTGCTTTGTTGGCCAAATCTAATGACTTGGCCAGCAAGAAATTATGTTTTTTTTCTTTTATTAGCTCCAAGCCTATTTACTAGGATCAATTTTTGCTAAGACATAAGGATCAATTTTTGCTGAGACATCCATACTATAATCAGTTAGCATGCTAGGCACACAACTAACTCATTAATAGGAACTACCAATGCCCAGGCCGTCAGCAAAGCCATAGTTTGCGTCCCTCTCCAAATCTCCCACCACAGCGATCTCCCTTCCCTTGTCTAACCAAGGGGACTGGTAGCCACAAAACATCAAATACCCCACACCAAACCTCTACTGCCAAATGAAAAACCATAAAGGAGTGTTGGATTCCTTGGTTGGCAGTGTCATCACCTCATTGGACAAGGCTAGCCATTTGGTAGATGCTCAAGGCTATATAGTATGCTTCGCTAGCCCACAAGCCTAGGCAAGGAAGTATGGAGAGGGATTTCGTGAGTTGGAAGGAATCGGATGAGGCGAAGGAATAGAGTCAGGCAAATACGATCAACTCCCACGAAAATAGGATGCCGCATTGCACCGGCTCGCGTGGCTACATGAGGAAAATCCGAGATTGGGAATGGGACGAGGAGCAGCTGACCCAGAGCGGTGTTACGGTCTGTACATCTGAATGGGATGCTCGCTCTATAAGGTTCCTTCGAGCGAGGTGGGTTACCTTCAACCCAGATGGCTCCCTATGTTATCAAGATGCTGCAACCAAGGAACTCGCACAAAGGTTGAAGGCGGTCCACGATGAAGTTGTTAATGGTACTTTCAAGCCTAATAGGGAGGGTTATCAACCCACCGAGCCTGCACCGGAAACAAAGAGCATCTTGGTCGTATACCACAGGGTTCAGACTTGTTCCGTGGGAGCTTTCCTTTCCCAGATGACATCTCCTCGTACAGAAGTTGATTGAGGAGGACTGCCCAAAAATAATTGGAGTGGCAACGTATGATGGAGGCTGTTCGACCAGAAATGAAAGAAAGCAATAAAAAATTACATCTAGAGTTTGAGGAGAATTTAACCAATTGTCCATCTACACCAGATGAGGATGCTGCCGACGAGCTCATCAGCCCATACCGGTATACGGAGTAGCTATGGAAGCACACCCCTTCCTCTCGATGATACATGTCTCACGTTCCCCGTTGAAAGATCACGGCCCCAACAACTTGCAACTTATACGCAGCGGAGAAGTTCTATAAAACCAAGGTGGCGACAGTGTCTTGTTTATCCTTGTGGCAAAGCCGGAGAGGTGCTGCAGAACCATCAATTGCCTGTAGGGTACTCCAAGGTGACCGTTGATGCAGTAGCTAAGAGCAGTGTACCGTGCTTGATTGAGTTAGATCACCCAGAGGATGAGGATAGGAAGACATTGGGGGAGAACTTGGGTTGCCAAGTTTTTTGGCGCAAGCGCTACATATCCTTTGGCTCGGATTCCGAATCCGACGATGATGAGGATGACGAAGACTTGGAAGACTCGCACCAAAATAGGGAACCAAGTATTTCATCACTGCTACGAACCAAGACTTGCAAGATGGGTCCATCTACTAGGAGTACAACTCAACCATCTTAGAACTTGCAAGAAAACACAACGATAGAGGAAGAACGTCTAGGTGTCGAGCTTGGGCGGGATAGAGAGGAGGCGCCACCTGTATGGTAGTTTCAGGTTGGGGTGATCTGGTGCCTCCCGGAGAAGTTCTGAATTAGGACCGAGAATGCGGAAGGTGCATAATTGGTACAGAGTTGAAGTGAGTGTGCAGTTTGCGGCAAGATATACGGATAGACATTTTTACAGGGGATAGAAAACTCATTGTGGATTCAGTTCGAGGCATTGTCTCAACTTTACCAAAAGTTGGCCCTGGACATTCATATCATGAGCTTGTGGACCATGTAAGTCTAGTTAGCACACCATGCATTTTATAGCTCCGAGTTGAATTTCTAACAAGTACACATTGTTTTGTAGGAAGGTGGCACACTTCTGTAGGGTGCAAGATATTGAAATAGGCTTCTTGAACCCAGTGCTATTCAATCACTAGACACTTAAGTACAGCAGCACCATCGATGAATTGGCAAAGAGCTTTCATGTCCACAAATCATGTAGTATACTTCTATCCTACAACTACGTGTATATTTGTTGTAAATGCCTAATTTTCTACTCCATTACATATTTGAGGGTTGAACCTAATTGGAACCAGCGGTGGCGTTGTGAATGCAGCGACGACCATCATGTCCTTCTTGACATCAGTATAGAGAGCACCACTGTCAATGTTTACGACTCTCGAGGGAGCCAACTAGAGAAAATACATCCCTTCATTGAAACGCTGAACAAGTAAACAAGTTACTACTACATTGGAAATGATAAGATTATCTATTACATAGCTTTGATCATCTTATGTCGCTGTCATGAACTTGTCGCACAGGGCCTATGGGAAGTTCAAGTCAAAGTGCAAGAGACATCGTCGGCTTTGCAGATGTGGGTATAAAGTAGGCTCAGACCTAGTCCTCGAGGCTGTGCTTGACGCAGAAGTTGCAGAGAATGCTAAACTGTTTGTCTCGCAGGCTCATGATCAGTTACCTAAGGAATGAAGATGAAGATGAAGATGATGTGCTTGAAGATGTTGCAAACAGGACCAAATTGTTCATCTAACAGCCTCATGGTCAGTTGCCCATGGAGGTTTTTGTCTT